CTGCTCGAAAGCAGCCTCACACTCAATGGTCCATCGAAATGGAGTGCTTTTGCGGAGCAACTCTGTCAGGGGATGAGCAAGCTGGGCGAAGTCTTTGATAAACCGACGAAAATAAGAACACAGGCCCACAAAGCTACGGAGATCCTTCAAAGACGTCGGTTGCTTGAAGTCTCGGACAGCACTGATTTTGTGCGGGTCTAGTCGTATACCGTCCTTGTCAACTAGATATCCAAGCACAAGGGCTTGACGCTCACCAAATTGACACTTCTTTGCGTTTAAAACGAGACCAGCTTGTTTGACGCAGTCTAGAACAACGCTAAGCCGATGGTTGTGTTCGTGGAATGTCTTGCCAAAAATAATTACATCATCGAGATAACACATACATATCTCCCGTTTGAGACCGCGAAGGATGGAGTCCATGAATTGCTCGAAGGTATCTGGGGCATTGCATAAGCCAAACGGCATAACGTTGAATTCAAATAATCCATCAGGCGTGACAAAAGCAGTCTTCTCTTTGTCAGACGGATGCATTGGTATTTGCCAGTATCCAGACCTTAGGTCGACAGACGAAAAGTAGGCGGCCGAGTGCAGACAATCAACAGCATCGTCGATGCGTAGTAGCGGATACACGTCTTTCTTTGTGACGGCGTTGAGACGGCGGTAGTCTACACAGAATCGCCAAGAGTTGTCTTTCTTTTTTACCAATATAACAGGAGCTGCCCAAGGACTGCTTGACTTTTGAATAATGCCTTTCTGCAGCATGTCGTTGACCTGATCGGCGATCACTTGTCTCTCTGACGGGGATACGCGATAGGGTTTCTGGCGTATCGGTGTAGCATCTCCCATGTTGATGCGGTGGTGCATACGGGATTCGGGCAACATGGAACAACGCTTGTTTTGAGCGAAATCAAAGATCCCCGCGTAGCGTGTAAGTGCCTCCTCAAGGACATTCTGCTCGGAAGAAGGCAACGACTTGTTGATCATACGTTTAATCTCGGCTGAGTAGTTGGGCGCAGTCTGACTGATAGCTGGAGACTCTGAGACCATTCTCACGTCAATTGTGGCCTGCTCCTCGAACGTACCCAGTTTGAATCCAGCTGGTAGAACAACAGGCTCTGAGGCTGCGTTGAGTGCCCACAAGCAAGCATGTCCGTCGATGGCTGTAAGGACAGACCGTGGGACCAGCACATTCTTCTTAATGGCGTTTGCATGATCAGGCTCCACAAGTCCAGTGCAGGGTCCTGAGCGGACATGAGAAGAGCATACGGGTACAAACACTGCTGTCCGACCAGGGATCGTCACATCTTCAGACAACGAAAGAGCATCGATGGGCAGAGTCGGAAAATCGTCAACTATTGCAGCGGGCAACGTACTTTGTAGAAGAATCTCTCCAGTTCCACAGTCAAGCGTAGCGCCGCATTCATGAAGGAGGTCTATCCCTAAAATGATGTCATGAGTTGCGCGAGCCAGTACGGTGAATTCAACTCGGAAATTTTGTCCACCAATCGTGAGTACAACTGAACAAATACCAACAGGGCATAACGTTTCGCCTCCAACTCCATGAAAAGTTTCTTTACGATTCCACGCGAACATAACTTTGTGACCCAAGAAGCGATGTTTGAAACGAAGGCTCATAACCGAAACAGCAGCACTAGTGTCTACAAGAGCAAGAGTATTTACACCGTCTATACACACACGCACTTTGTTCATCAACATCACAGCAGAAGGAGAAATTGGCGAAACTGACCGTCCCGCGACCGCACCTCCATCGGTCGCACCAGTTAGTTTCCCAGCTGATGCGGGGAAGGTGACCGACGACGCGGAGACGGCGACCGGCGGGACCGTGTCGGAGGCGGCGTCAGGCTTCTCTTGGAGGCAGGGGACTCGCTGCGAAATTCGTTAGGCCATTGCTGTCGGGGACGGTGGTCGGCCGAGTGAGAGGTCCAGGTTTCGTGCATACGAGGCGGGTGTGTCGAAAAACGTGGCGGCACAGGCGTTTCGTACATACGAGCCGGATACGTCGAAAAACGTGGCGGTGCAGGCGGCCGTCTGGGACAGAAGCGCGAAATAAGCCCTGGGAGACCACATGTGTAGAAACGGGGACTTGTCGACTTCCGTTAGCCGGAGCAGAGGTGGCAGAAGTACGCGGAGACGGGTCGTGCTCCGCAGGAACATTTTGTGATGAAGCATAGTAATCTTCTGGTAGAGGCCTGGTTGACGACGGTCGGGGGTCCGCAGCGGCACGTCGAGATGATGACATCCGGTGGTGGCCACGACCCGTCGGGGAAAACGGAAGCCGCGGGGTAAAATCTGCAGTTTCTGTGCGTGGTCGGTTTTCGACGTGACGCTCTCGCATCCAGTAGGGAGGTGGTTCGGGGCACGCGGCGAACGAGCATTGGTGGTGAAAGTCACCTGCTTGAAGTCGTATGAGCTCTTCTCGAACTACCCGACGTACGAGGTTGGAAATGTCTTCGCAGTTGGCGACGTCCATACTTGCGACAGTGGGAACATTGTCCAAGCGCCCGAACTTGGGTAAAATTCTTCGGGTCTTCAACGCCTCGAATGCGCGACACTGCTGCCTGAAAATCGAAGAAGTGTTCAAGTTTTCTTTTGTTATCAAAAAATTGTACACGTCCTCGGCGATGCCTTTCAACAAATGACCGACTTTGTCTTCGTCAGACATATTTGCGTTGACAATTCCGCAAAGCTTCAACACTTCTTCAATGTAGGTTGTGCACGTCTCGCCGGGCAACTGAGCCCTACGTGACAGCGTTTGCTCAGCTTTCTTTTTCATGGAACTCGTGTCCCCAAAGCAGGCCTTCAGTTCCTTAACAAATATATCCCAAGTGGGGAGGACATGTTCATGGTTCTCAAACCAAAGCAAGGCTGTCCCGGCAAGGAAGAATACTACGTTCACGAGCTTCGCCGGTGCGCCCCATTCGTAGTAGCGGCTCACTCTCTCGAAGTGTTTTAGCCAAGCGTCCACGTCTTCGTCAGTTTTACCTGAGAAAATTCGTGGCTCAGGTGCCCAGTAGTCTGGTTGTCGAGGGTCGACGGCCACCTTGTGCCGTGTCGGTGGCACTGGTGGATGCAGCAGCGTAGGACGTCGATGGGATTGCTGTGTCGTCGTTCATGCTGATGTTGTCCGGAGGTAGGCCAGCTAAGCGTCTGCTTCTTCGAAGAACTTCTGCTGCGGGGTCCAGGATGGCAAGTTACCCAGCACCGCTCCACCAAAGCTGTTACGGAAGTGATGGGTTTATTTACAATGAAAAATGTCAGCGCTCTACCGTCACTGCCGAATCACCATCGCTCGAGCGCGTCCGATCTCTTCTTCTTCCTCGCTCTTTCAGTCCGCGTTACAATATCTCCAAGGGTACAATTAGAGCGTTCTGTCATGCCATCGGTTTGAGGATGGTATGCCGAGGTTTTCCGATGGACAATGCAACATTCCTTGAGCAGTTCGTCGATGGCGTTCGAGAGAAACACGCGTCTACGGTCACTCAGTAATTCACGAGGTGCACCGTGTCGCAAAATGAGATGGTGAAGAAGAAAGGACGCAATTTCTTTCGCAGTGGTAGCAGGCAGCGCAGATGTTTCAGCGTAGCGTGTCAAATGAATGACGGCGACGGTAATCCACCGGTTGCCTCGAAGAGTGTTGGGTAGAGGACCATAAATATCAATTCCAACGCGGTCGAATGGGCTCGCAGGGCAGGTTAAGGGTTGTAAAGGGCCAGCAGTGCTGTGAGAAGGCGTCTTGCGGCGTTGACACGTTGACAGGATACGCATGACCTAAGTCTTAAGGAGCTTCGCCCCTAAAATCTGTAGGCCCGCGTGCTCAGATGTGGGAGCGCGTTAAAGAACCCCAGGTGGTCGAAATTTCCGGAGCCCTCCATGACGGTGTCTCTCATAATCTTTGGTTCTTCTGGGACGTTAAAGCCCACTTACTAATCAAGTATAGTATAGGATAGCATATGTTATTAGTAGAAAGGGAAGTGAGTAGAGAAAGAGGAGAAAGGACTAAGGCATAGCATATAAAGAAATAAACAAAAAGCGAAATATAAACAGAAACTAACAAACGAAAAAGCTGAATAGAAAAACAGTGAGAATATAGAAGGAAGTAGAGCGTGAAGTACAGAAAGGTTTCAAAACTTAAATTGACACTAAAGCCAACTATTAAGTCGACGCTGGTTGTTGAGATGACGGTCCAGAAACCTTGTAGTGTTACTTTTGTGCCAAAGAAGGGCTTACTGTGAAATAAAATCACGTTTTAGTGCTCCGCATCGGGTTAGCACACTTCAAATTACTCGCCTCAAGAAGTGGACCGACCGGACCGTCTCACGTCACGGTTTCCGTGCACAACGTTGCCCGGCTTTACTGCGCTAGAAGCAGCAGACCGAAAGCAGTGGCAACCACAACAGTAACAACGGCCATTGATCAATTTCCCGCCATTAGCTTCCAGATTGCAGACGCTTTTGTTTCAATTGCGCCCCGCTAGATAGCAACACCTTTCCCGTGTAACCACGCGAAAATTGACGAATTGAACCACTGGCGCCATTCCCTATAGTAACGTCCGGTAGTTCTTTTTTCTGTGAATCAAACAAAAAAGAACAAGCAGCATTGTATTGCGTCTCTTATGCACGGAACGTTCTTTTTTTAGTGCAGTTAGATCGATCACTAGTGATTAATTGTAGGCGGTTCGTCTGATGTCATCGGGACTATTTTTGAAAATGTCCTACTGCGGTGCTTGTGTTCTGGTGCATTTACCTTAATCTCTCGGTAAGTAATGCACTGTTGTTGATACTATTGTCGTTTTAGATGTTGTCATACATTGAGCTTTCACTCTGACATTAATTGTTATTTGACTTTAGTGTCCCTTTAACAAAGCAGCAACAGCCCTGACAATAGTTAGGGATACATCGACTCCGCTGTCTCTTATGCATTTCGCCTCCCGTGCAAGCAACACTGATTTTGCTAATACTTCTCTTTTATGCTCGCCTCAGGCTTCTGCTGGGTTTCATGCTGACCGCCATGTTCCTGTCTATGTGGCTGAGCAACATGGCGACCACACTCATGGTTCTACCTATCGTCGATGCTGTCGTCGACGAAATCTGCAAGAAAAGCTCTGAAGAGAGTCTCAGGAACGGTTGGTTGCATACTCTCTTCATTTATACGCTATAGTGCTTACAAAATCTGCGGTTATGGTTTTAGTGGCGTCTTAAAAACGTTTTACATCGAAACGTTTCGTGACAATCGAAATGTTTATCTAACTATAATGTTTGCCAAATATAGCTCGTTAATTTTTTTTGATAGTTCAGTACTATGTGTGAACATATTGAACATTGAACAGAACCAATCGCATCTGCTTAACGCAGCCTGCAAATTTTTGTTTCGGCTGTCATCATGAGAAAATGTGTTCACCAGGAAACAGACTTAGGTGCCTCATAAAACTCAAAGTTACCGTCTACCGCCAGCAGTGCAAAAAAATTGCCCGCAGCTTCCCTCGGGGGAACACTGAGGAGGATGCGGAGCATATAATTGGTTAAAGGGGTGTTAAAGTGCGACTTACTTGGGTCGATGGCTAAATTGGTTAACGTGGTTGTGAAATGGGGTGTTAAATTGCGACTTACTTGGGTCGCTGGCTAAATTGGTTAACGTGGTTGTAGGAGGGGTGTTAAATGAGTGAACACGTACGACACGTATGCGAAAGGGCGGTGTTTATTTATTGCGACGAACTTTGAGCGGTTCCGCCAACACTTTGGCCGGCGCTGGTCGAAGGGACGTCGATCATTGCGACCTCGGACGTCGACGCGCCGTACAAACCAACCGACGAGCGGCAACTGAGCGAGCGAGCACCGACCTTGAGTATATATACAGCGCGACGGCGCATGCACTGTCAGCTGTCGAATGTTCGAGAAGGGGGAGAAGCGCAACGGCGCATGCGCGCGCGTCAGCTGCCGATGTTCTCGAAGCGCGACGGCGCATGCGCGCGCGTCAGCTGCCGATGTTCTCGAAGCGTGACGGCGCATGCGCGCTACATTATACAGCTAGCGAATGTTCGTGAAGAGGAGAAGCGCACGCGGTGTGTAGAGGAGGAAGGGTGCACAGATGGTGGAGGAGTGAAGCGCGCGCGGTGTGTAGAGGAGGAAGGGATGCACAGATGGTGGAAGAAGGAGGAGGAAGCTTGCGGACGGCGCCGCACTACAAGCCTCGAGTATTAGATGCTCCGCATCTAAAAAAAAAAATCACCCTTTCACTATTTCATCATGACATCGCAGGTCGCTGAAATTCGATATGTCGTTGTGACTTAGCGTGACGTGACGTGACTCGATGGCTTCATCACGCGACATGTTCGCTTGATGAAACGTGCACCTGTTTCGGAGGCATCGCTGTAAAACCACGCGAGGCGAGATAGACAAGGGTACGATGCCTCTAATCTTGAAGGCAATGCGAAACCATGGTGAGTGAAAAAGTTTGCAGGAGAAGGGGAATTAGGCGAATGGATACGGAACTCTAGCACTTTCGTTATGTGTGCGAGAAAGTTGAAAACTCTGAGAATTTTTTAATCCGGCTCGTCAGTGTTGAGAACATGGTTCTCGAAAACTGTTCACTTCACTTCACTTCTCTTCACTTTACTTCTCTTCACTTCACTTCTCTTCAATCTTCCACCTCACATCACCCAGCATGCTTCGTAGCTGCTTCACATATATAACTCTTTAACCCTTCGAGACGGTATGTATAGAAATTTGTGAACGCCACTTGCTCTTGCTATTTGCATCAAGTATATAGGGGCTCAAAAAGAGCGCGGTATATAGAGCTTTGGAAGAATTCAACCTCCTGCATAAATATTTTGTGTTCATTCAACTTCATTTTTCAGTGCACTGTTGCATACATCTCTTTTTTGAAGGCACTACCACGTTTCATGACTAGTGTGACGTGCAGTATCTTGCGAGCAGCGTGAAATGCAGAATATCTCCTTATTCATAATGGAAGTAACGGAAAATAATTTGCTATATATTCCTAGCCTGGGATTTTATCCTGTTTAAGCTAAAAGTAAGCATCAATGACTTCACCGTAAAGAGATACCTAATTACAAATTAATTAGGGTGACTTAATATAACACACATAAATTGAACAATTATTTCATTATTCTATTTGCAACAGAACATTGAGTGCCTTGAAGTAACGGGGTAGTGATTTGAGGCACTTACAGACCGTCTTTTGTAGGTGGTGTCTGAAAGCGTTAACAGATCATCTTACAAATATTGTCCTGTTGCTTCCTTAGTCCTTTGTGTATTAATCGTCGGTTTGTGCTAAATTGTGTTCTTCTGTGGTAAATATAGCCTCTGTGTCGCATTATCTCACCTGTGTGGCTCAAAGTGCAGGGTCTCCAGCAAGTGGCTACACCAATGAAGCTTTCCCAGCAAACAGCACTGATGTGAACATCGAAAGCTTTGAGCTCGAAACCAAAGAAGATGCTAAAAGGCATGTATCACTCGATGAACATCGCTAACCATTTCATTTTCGCCTGTTTCAGCTTTGTGTATTCAATGGCTTTAGCTTACACAGTAATTAATGCATAGCAGCTAATTTCATAGTCATTTCCTATAATTCAATTAAACTGGTTAGTAAGGTAGCGGATTGGGCTAGTTGAAACATACTCATCACGATCAGCGTACAAAAACGACAAAGACGACAAAAAAAAAAAATCACAAGAGCGTGCAGCACTTGTGTCCTGCACCTTCTTCTGTTTTTTCTTCTTTTTGTACGCTGATCGTGATGAATAAACTGGTAAGTACACTCCCTTGTGCTGAATTTCAGAAATTATAGAATGTGCCCTTTTGTTGCTGTTAAAGAAGCGTATAGAAATCTATTCACTTTTCTTATGAGTTCATATTTTTATGAGTTCTCGTTATGTTTTTTTATTATCGATAAGTTATTGTTTAGAGAGTCGTACGTTGACGCAATTGGGGTCAATGTTTCTAATTTTGTCTATATAATCACTCAGAATTGCGTCATGTGGAGATAAAAATTACGAAGGTGCAACGTACCTGCTAGGGTGTACACGCCGGCAAACTATTCTTATAGCGGTGTTACACTGGCACTTTCGATCACGTTCAGGGATGATCTGTATTACGCGCGATCAGGATCAGATGCTACTACACGGTCTTTTTAGTGGTGATCAGGCTCGATTGGGGTCAAGACAATTTTTATCAGCGCATCGAGATCAGGCTCCCTGATGGAAATTTCACCAACGAGAGCAATAGGCACCATCCAGATTAGTATGTACCATATGGTCGCGACCATTGTTGGTCCCGATTGGCTTTAACTGCGATCGAAAGAGCCTGTGTGATAGTGGTATTGGCACGTTTCATTCAATTTATTTGAACATGAAGGCATAATTTGTGCACACTCGTTAGAATCACGCACAAGTAACTGTTTTTGCCAGTTCTTATTAAATGCAGCCTCAATCACGTTTGCATGACATTGTAATATGTGATTCAGATGTATCGCGATGACTTGCGTACTTATTAAGCGTTTTACGAGTTCTTAGGGAAACATAGGGATCATATTCGAGATAGAGAAGCAGTAATGAACCTTGCGATGTATGCTTAAAGGCTTGATCGTTTCTGACGAACGCTTAATCAGTCCCCGGGTGACACAGGCGTCAGGACAGGCTTCTCGTTTGCTCTATCCAGCAAAAAGTACCTTGTATCTCCTAAAAATGAAGGCCAAACAACCACCTGAAGCAGAGAAAACGTTATGCATACGAATGGCCTCGATCCAGGACTTTCGTGTGGGCAAAGCTGTTAAGTTATAACGTCTAGTTCAGTTGGTAGAGCATGATTCGAAGCTAAGTCCTCGCCAGTGACACGTCATCTTTTCTTTCACATTGATCTTGTCCCTTTTGTATCATACTTACTACAAACAGGAACCCCAATACTTTTCTTGACTTGATTGTGTGTTAGTTCTCATCAATGATGCGCCTAACAAAGAAAGAACGAGTCCTTTATGGTACTCTTCTTTCGTCCTATGCGTAGAGTGTCTTGCTACGAACGGTACCGGAACGCCATGCTGCTGGGCATCGCTTACGCTTCCAACATCGGTGGCACGGGCTCGGTCATCGGCACGGCTCCCAACCTGGTGCTCATGGGGCTCGTCGAGGAGTAAGTCACGGGACAGAAGTGCGGGACAGGAGTGTCCGATTTTAAAATCCAAGCATTTCTTTGCGTACTGCAAGCACTCTGCATCTATCTATCTATCTATCTATCTATCTATCTATCTATCTATCTATCTATCTATCTATCTATCTATCTATCTATCTATCTATCTATCTATCTATCTATCTATCTATCTATCTATCTATCTATCTATCTATCTATCTATCTATCTATCTGTCTGTCTGTCTGTCTGTCTGTCTGTCTGTCTGTCTGTCTGTCTGTCTGTCTGTCTGTCTGTCTGTCTGTCTGTCTGTCTGTCTGTCTGTCTGTCTGTCTGTCTGTCTGTCTGTCCCTCCGTTCATCTGTCCCTCCGTCCAAACGCTTACGTCTGGGTGCTCTCGTGGTCAACCCCTTAACTTGGCGTGAACCAAAATCAGTATAGAAGGGTAAGACGATTTGACGAATGAGACATCCTGGTCAAGACATAAATATTGTCATAATCCCATCACGTACGTCGTCAAAAACTTCGCGCCAGACAGTGGCACATACCTGCGGGCGGGTATGTGCCACTGGTATGCCGGTATGTGCCACAGGTGATTGACACTTAGCATCTACCTAGGAACAACGAGAATATACATGTGTAACTTTTCCAGGTTTCGGAACTACTTTTCAAGTATACCCTAATGTTTGTGAAACGACAGTTGTAGTTGCAGTGCTAGCTATCCAATTTTACGAACATATTTACTCCTATGACCCAGCCCTCATGTCGTGTTAACGTCAATTGTAATTAGATGCATGCGCTGAAGTTGATTTATGTGGAAGTGTCCAGGGCTACCATCCTCGCAAGCACCGGTGCTTCATATCAGCTTATCGCTTCTGGTGTTGCATAACGAAGGTGTCAACCAATAAAAAAAGTAACTTACGACGCAGTCGCCTTCCCTCCGCATGTTTCACATAACGTCGATTCACATGCTGAGTGGGTTCTGCGGAATTTTTATCGGTCAACCATTCGATTGCCAATGCAGGCCAATGGCCAGGAATATTTTTCGGAAAAATATGGGGGGTGGGGGGCACCTATTGAAGACCTTGACAAACAGCTATTTCTATTATTTTTCCTCGGTAAAGCGCCCTCCCCCTACATACGAATTTCTTGGAGGGGTGGTTTTGGGACATTAAACAATATGGTGGTTTTGGGACGTTAAACTCTCACAATTATTATTATTTTGGGAGAATGCCGCTAAAATTTATGATGTCACGGTCGTTGGTGGAGACATTTCCGGGGGTGTGAACACTGTTATTTTGCGCGTTTTCTCGCTTAGCAATCGTTTCCTAGCGGCACCTAATAAAATAAATACAGTATTTCTCTTCAATGTTTTTTGAAATGACATGTCCACTTTTGACCACCGTGCATTATCTTGAGTTCTCGCTCTATTTTATTTTTAGAACTGCCAAACGACATCCTTACACGCTTTCCGCCGAATCAGCTAATCTAATTTGTCCATTAACTGGGTACTGCCATCGAGTGTCCGTGGTATGTCGAGTTCGGCCAATAGACTACAAACTATTGCTTTTCTTTCGCAACTGTGTTCACGTAGGCTATAAATACAAGCGTTATTCAACGAAGAGAAACAGCTTACATTGCTATTTAAAAGAGATACGAAATAAAAGGTTAAAGTTGGTATTACTTTGGCTCAACATGGGCTGGTTTTAGTTTTCTTCGAGTTTGAATATCGGAAAACGTGCGCAGAACCATGTGTACAGAAACTATTGCGCCTATGGTAATCCCGATCTGTATTCTATACGAATGTTTCACATTCGTGCTTTGGCTTTATCAGGCGTTCCTGAATTGACTAGCTATAACTGGTGCAGCAGTGAGTATTGCGCGAATAGCATATGGACGGCTTTAAGCTCTCCCATAGTAGAGTACCGAGTACTCTAAATCGTTAACCACTTATTCTAAACACACTATGAGTTTCGTTTCTGACCTTTTGGAGTTCACGGGACGGCTTTCAGCCCTCCCATGGTAGAGTCGTTTACTATGTTACACTATGGTAGAGTACGAAGTACTCTGAATTGTTAACCACTTTTTTAAGGGGTGAAGACTCTTATAACAACACCCGTTCGTCCTTCGTTGTCGTTGTAGTATGTAAAAAGTGAAACATTTTGACCTCCAAGGTGGTGCCGGTCAGAGATTTCTTCTGTGCGTAGTTGAACAATAAAAAATAGTGCTCAATGTACATGTCAATGGCTGCTAATGGGGAATGAGAGACAGGAGCATTCGGCTTTTAGTTAACGCGCACGCTGCGATTCCCATTATCAGCCATGGGCATGTACATTGAGCACTATCCGACAATAAAGGGTTGCTACGTTATACTCGCTGGGTGTAACCTCCTTAATTTTAGAAAGGTTTAGCGAGCGTTGAGTCGCAGTGCCATGAATACAATGAACTAGGATATACCATGAATGAACACGAGGTAGTTAAAGGTGGGAAGTAGATACGAAGCGCAAGCCGTAAGAAAGTAAAAGCCGAATTCTCCTGTCTCTCATTTCCCATTAGCAGCCATGGGCATGTACATTGAGCACTATCTGACAGGAAAAGGTTGCTACGTTATACTCGCTGGGCGTAACCTCCTTGGTTTTAGAAAGGTTTAGCGAGCGTTGGGCCACAGTGCCATGAATACAGTGAATTAGTATATACCATGAACTCGAGGTGGTTAAATGTGGGAAGTAGACCCGAAGCGCAAGCCGTAAGAAAGTGTGCGTGTGCCACCTCTCGTTTAGTCCTTGGAATGTCCGCTGGAGGGCGGTGCTTCTATATGGGAATATATGATGAAAAGATGCGAGATGGTGGTACTTGGAGTGTTGAATAGATGGACGAACGGACACACCGACAGATGCATGGATGGACGCATGAACGGACGCAGGGGCGGATGCATGGACGAAAGCAGAGACGGACGCACGAACAGACGCACGCATGAACGGGTGGATGGACGCATGGACGGTCCCACAGACGGACGCATGGACGGACGGAAGCAAGAACGAATGGACGGATGAATGCTTCGCCCCACTCTCCATCATTCATTCCGTGGATATGCTGCCAATTTTTTGAACACACTCTAGTTGAACATCTCATCTAAGGAGGTTTAAAAAAAATTGCTGGAGTGGAAACTACCGCAATGCTTTTCCAGCCGTAGTGAAGCCATCATTTGCTCTGCAAAGATCTCGGAAACGTGCCATTTTCTGGTAGTGTCCATTTAGACATTAAGTGGCTTTGACCTGTTAGTCGTAAAGCTACGTTCATCATAAATGACAAGATAGTTGTTTCCGATGAAACAAGCCACCAAGACGGGTATCGGTGACTTATACTGTAATAATATTTGCCTTGATAAGGTTTACTAAAGAAAACTAGTAACAGGAAGGCGCACTTTGAGCACTATATGGACCAGAAAAGGTTGCTAGGTTAAACTCGCTGAGCGTGCGAGAAAAACGCTCCATCTGGCGAAAGGCGTCTGACACATGGTACAACCATAGGTACAACGCCTTTTTGGCTTTCGAACAGTGCGCATGGCAGGAGAACGTGGGCTGTTTGCAAGGCGGGTCTTTACAGTGACCTTGTACGTACTGTGGCGGCGACGCTGTTTAGGCGGAAGTACGGCACAAGCCTCATAGAGGCGCCTATATCGCCCTCCAGACAATACGGCTCACTGTGTGGAATTACCTAGATCAGCAGCTGCAAACGCACGGCGAAGAGTAAGGGAGGGACAGCTGAAGTTTCCAGTTGTTCCGTACTAGCCATGTGCCCACTCTAGCACGCATGCATACGTGGTATTCTGTAAATGTGATTCACTTGATTCATTTCATTTTCCTTTGTCTTGTAACATTTGGATACCCAGTGATCAATTAGACTTTGGTACTCCTTTGAAAGATTTATACTCTGTCTTTACTTGTTTTTGATCTTTCGTTTGTGTATGTACAAGTTCAGTGTACAATAAACTTCTCTTTCTCAATTGCCGAACGCCAACAGCTCATCATTCCCATAGTAAGATTGCTACCGCAGCCGCCATATTATGGTGGGTAGGGCTTCACTCGTGAACGATACTGTCCACTCCAGCAAGTTGTTTTTTTTTTAAACCTCCTTTGTCTCATCAAGCGCGAGGGACATGTAGTGGCGGTGCGTAGGCCTACGAGACGGGTTCATACTCTCCCATAGTAGAGTACCAAGTTCGCTAAATTGTTTACCACTTTTTCTAAACACACGTCTTCATATAAGCGTGCGTTGAAGCCATGATAATCGAAACCCTAGGCATTTATTCCTAAATTTTACAGCGAAAGCTGTTTTGAGATCACTTTTCGGGTCACGCGCAGCTGTTGTTGTCCGCCGCCGCCGCCGCCGCCAGTGTCCGTCACCACATCGTGCGAAATTAGAAAAAAAAAATCGGCAGATCCCATGTGCATGGTAATCCACGTTATGTGAAGCATGCGGAAGAAAGGTGACTGAACTTTTTCATAGTTTAGTTAGTTGCTTTTAGCGGGACGGCTCAGTGCTCTCCCATAGTTGATACGAAGTACTCGAAATCGTTAAACATTTTTTCTAAACACAGCATGTTGCAATTTTTTATTGAGCAACACGTCATGAAATGAACCTAAATTAAAGTACAAATGTCGCACACACAGACACATGTTGAAGAGTTGCAGATGTTTATATAACCAGTTGCTCGCACTTGCGCAACGATGCCAACTGGAACATGCGTATTAGCAACACCAGAAGCTGATATGTAGCGCTGATGCTCGCAAAGATGCTTGCCCTGGACACTGGTACATAAATCAACTTCAGCGCATGGCAACTAACCACATCTGACAATAACCACATCTGACGAGCTGTAACAAAATAGTACTTATGTAATGTTTATAAGATTTTGTAGGCAGCACTGAAACCACTATTAATGTTTCACGAAGATAAGCGTCTATTTGAAAATTAGTTGCGAGACCTGGTGTAGCTCTGTGGTGAAATGCTTCATTGGCACCCAGAATGCTTGGGTTCGATTCCAGCTGAAACTCGTCAGGTCGACGCCACCGACGTCGGGTATTTCTTGACACTCGCGCGTCAAAACTGCCCATGTGTGTTCTCGTCGTTCCTGAGCAGATACCAAACTTCAATCATCTGTGGCACATACCCGCAAACCAGCGGCACATACCCGCCCGTGGGTATGTGCCACTGTTTGGCTGGAAGTGTTTGACGACGTACGCGACGGGATTTTGACATTATTCATGTCTTGACAAGCGCGCGTCGTATTCGTCAAACCATCTTACCCTCTCATGCTAATTTTAGTTCTCGCCAAGTAAATGGGGTGACCACGAGAGCACCCAAACGTAAGCGGCTAGATAGATAGATAGATAGATAGATAGATAGATAGATAGATAGATAGATAGATAGATAGATAGATAGATAGATAGATAGATAGATAGATAGATAGATAGATAGATAGATAGATAGATAGATAGATAGATAGTAGATAGATAGATAGATAGATAGATAGATAGATAGATAGATAGATAGATAGATAGATAGATAGATAGATAGATAGATAGATAGATAGATAGATAGATAGATAGATAGATACGTTCAAAGTCGCCGAAGTTTGCTAAGACATGCTTCACATTTGAAACCTAGCACGAATGGCACGGTGGGACTCGAATCCGGGACCGCTGAGTGCCAGCCCAGTATTCTACCACTGAGCTACGCAGGTGCTTGTGACTTGTTGTCAAACTTGCCCTAGGCAGGCTTGATGTCGGGAAAGCAATCGCGTTAATACGACTTATAAAGCGTTTTACAACAGTCGTCTAACAATGCGAATAGCGTAACGAGTGGGCCGTCCGATGCTTCAACCCATTACAAAATCTTGTTCTTGTTTCCCTATTAACTGTGGTGAATACCCACTTCAGCCATAATTCCTTATCGTCGTCAGCCACTGCATGGACAATTGGCACAAAATTCCATGCAAGTGTTCAGCGGATACCACGCTTCTCAGAATAATGACAAAAAATTACGTAGCGAATGCCAGCCTGGTACCCAAAAGTTTATTATTAACGCCCTAGTGGGTACCAAGCAAATGTGCTTGCAGTAGTTACCCAATGAGTGTTTTGAAAAGGCTCTGAAAGGCCGCTCTTCCAACTTTCGCTGTGACTGTGCTGCGCCTATATACCGCGAAGACCTGGCGTTTTTTGTCGACAGGGCCTCATCAAGTCGTGAGGCTCAGGGGACGGCTTTATGCTTCCCCTAGAGTACCACGCACTCTTAAGTCATTAACTACTTTTTCGAAACACAGTACTATGTACTCTAACTAGTTAAAACGCTTTTTTCTAAACAGTTTTGTTACTACACGGTGTACTCACCTGAAATGCCGTTACCAGTATGCAATAAAGTTCCATTTTTCAGTAGTACTGTAAAGCATAGTAGTCTGATGATTAATTGCTATAATATTTAGAGTGCATCTCTTAGACACCCGTATATACGCATTTATTCTCTTCAAAATATCAAAAATGCAGTGTGCGTGTGTGTGTGTGTGTGTGTGTGTGTGTGTGTGTGTGTGTGTGTGTGTGTGTGTGTGTGTGTGTGCGTGCGCGCACTGCAGTGCGTCATTCAGTAGTGTCGGTTGTCGGTATACTTGTAATAAATATTAAACGGTATGTGTTGGATATCGTACTACCCAGGTTGTACCCGAACTCTGGTTCCTTGAGCTTCGCTACGTGGATGATATACAACGTGCCCACCATGATTGTGTGCGTGGTCTTTGCTTGGTTCTACCTGTACTTCCAGCTAGTACCCAAAAGGTCGGTGTCTATACTGCTTCTTTGGCGCCGATATGTCAGCAATGGTACAGCGCTATAACTCAACGCTTGAACACTTTAAACAAAGACAATCACTCTGAAAATTGCGTGCTCACTTCTGTTGCAAAAAGAAAATAAACACATGGCATTTTCCTGTCGGCAAAAGGCATATAAATGACAGAACACTGAAACTACTAACGCCTCACGTCATTGGTTAGTTCTTATACAAGCGAAAAAAATTCTTTCCTGCGTATTACGCAGTATATCAGTCCTATCCCAACAAAATTTAAGAACTTTAGCGCACTTGAAAACAACGGTTTATACTGTTTTTTTCTTTTGTGAATCATGCACCGCCGTTTGGATAAACGTCAGGCAATCGCAGAGGGAGGCCCACTTTAATTATCTGTCTATTATCACGGTGGCTGGCCCTGGTATGTTTTGTTGTGTTATCTTATATACTCACGGATCGTAATTCAACTCGTGTGGAATACGACGTTGCACTTGCGGTTTCGGACTTTGCAATGCCGCAACGTAAAAAAATGAAGTTCGTTTTGTTTTTCGCGCAGAACAAAATATGTGCAGACACACCTTCTGTCATTTACCACCGTGTTTACTACATGTTTGCTAGTCGTATCTCGCTCTTAAATACCATAAATACCATTCAATTGAAGCAACGCTTACATCGTATATATATATATATATATATATATATATATATATATATATATATATATATATATATATATATATATATATATATAGTTTCAGTTTACTATTTTTGACTGACTGGTTGAAATATGTGAAGTCACTGTGAAAGACACGACAAATTTATTCTGAGTTTTCGGCTGGAGACTAACCTTTCACATTTAGCTTTGACCGACACAACTCAAAGATGTGTCCTCGTGCATGAATTATGAAACACTACAAATGGTCGAACACTTAACATGAGTGTCGGGTCAGCTTTTATCAAAGCCGGTTTCCTGCCAGAAGCTCAGAATATATTCATTATGTTTTCCCTCAAACCCCCTCCCCCACCCCAGACACACAAACACATACTCGCACACATTCACTCATTATAGCCACATAATAAGCGTTTTTCTACCCCTCTCATTGTGACTTCTTTTCATATGAATAGATAAATAAATAAATGATTAAATAAACAAACAAACAGAACCCCCCCCCCACAAACACACGACATTCACACACTATAGGCACATAATAAGCATTTTTATATCATTTTCAGTGTGAGTTCCTTTCATATAAATTTATAGATAAATAAACAAAGCAACAAATCAACAAGACATCCAAACAGCAAACCAACAAAGCAACAAGCAAACAAACGAACCAAATACACCAAACAACAAACCAGCAAATAAACCAACCAACCAACAAATAAATAAATAAATAACTTCTGCCCAGCGCAGTAAATCAGTGGCATTATTTATACTTACAGGATACGTGGTAATCACCTGAACCCAGAGTCGGTTCGAACGGCAATCAAAAAGCGCTACAGTGAGCTCGGGTCATTATCGTAAGTATGCTTATCCCGCCAGCCTTGCTGTTCAGTTAACAGAGAACCTTAAATGTGCCAAAGACGTGGACTGTGTTATTTTACCAATAAAATCAACAACCTAAAGCGGGAGATAGGGATATGTTATGGCTGGCTGCATAAAATATACGTGCAGAGCTGACAATAATGTTGTGAATTATGTATTCGGGCACGCAAAACATGTTAGCCAGACATGAAAATGTTTTCTTCTCTAGGTGCTAAAAGAAGTTCGATAGTGAATTCTGTCTCACAGTTTTATCTGGTAATTTGTTTCAATACACTATCGTTATAAACAAAAAAAAGTGAATACCTGAAACAGTTGACACGTGTCGTGATTGGAGTCACAGCTATAGTATTATAGTTAGTGTCTCTGCCTGGCAGCGTAAACCTGGCAAATACGCAAGAAGCTGGGGCGTGTCAATCTTGCTGTACTGACCTCGATTTTGTACTGTGTCGGTCGTAATTTCGGATTCCATGCACTTCAGTTCATTTCAATTTCCGTTATTATTACATTACACTAAAAGACGGCAATTAATGGCTCCTACGCTTTCCCTGGCCGAATCGTCTTGTCAAGATTCTGCAACAATGCATAAATTCGACAATCTCGAACACCGCAGCCATCTCTGTCGTCGATTGGCGCCATGTGATACGACAAACTACACCACATAATAGAGGCAGGTTCATTGTCAATAGAAGCTGTTGTTATTAAGCGCTTGTGGTCTGTTTTATTGAAGTAGACTTTAGTGAGTTGTATGTGGGTTACTATGGTGGTAGTGACTTACTTCTCTCGAATTTCGTGGGTGTTCTGGTACTGTTTTCGTTCTATGACATTTGAGGACGAGTATTGAAAATTACTACTACTTTTCAAATAGGTTTCACGAAGGCGCCGTGCTGTTCATATTCATCGTCATAGTGCTGCTGTGGTTCTTCCGAGACCCGTACGTCGTCACCGGATGGTCCTCTTTCTTCGCACTTGGCAAGTGAGTTCCCGAGTTTTTGTGGTTACATCGCCTTGCCAAATTTGATAATTCGAACTCTTTAAAGGAAACCTGAACCACTTCTTCAGTAAGCCATCTAATGTTTCCCGTATATATGTTTCGGCGAACATTTCTGGAGGCGATCATTATCGAGCAAAGCTGTATAGATTTGCCGCACGGTCGCTTTAAGCTCTCTTAAAGCTCCCGACGAGCGCATGCACTGGAAGCAGCTGCACAGGGGGAAAAAAGTTACGTCAGTGTGCGTCACGACCTTGAGCACGCATTATTAAACATGATCGTTATCTCTTACTGTGATTGTTTTTTTTTCTTGTGTGGTTCTTAAGCGTGTATCCACACGACGGACATATCCGCGCAAATCCCTCCCGCGGACGTTCGTTCCGCCGCCCGTCCGGCTGCGAAGCACATTCAGACGACGGACGAAGCGAGCAGACGGACGCGCTGGAGAAAAAAAACATGGCGGCACTGTCTGAAGCGAGAGCTGCCCGCTTCAAATCTTTAAGCTCTTCGTAGCGCATCGCGTGGGCTGTTATTCCCAAACTGATGGTTGTGTAGGCTTTAGGTCTGTGTCCTCGAGCTTCGACGGCAACGTATACATGACTATTTGGTACTGTTTCCGAGCGCCGTACTCGTTTTCTGAAAAGTGTAGGCTTAGCGACCACCGCTATTGCCAATACATGAGCTCGGTGATCTGCGGTAGCGCTGGGGCTACCATATCTCGGAGCTCATGATAATGTGCGAATGTTTGCTTATTCTTCTTTTCTATAGATGGCGCGACCAGTCTGAAAGTAGAAAACCCATTCATCGCTAGCCATTCGAGGTTTAGGTTTCCGTCTATGACGCTGAGTTTGAAGTTGAAGTGAATATGGAGGTCGAAAGAAAGCAACGAATAGCTGCAATGGCTGTTGTATTAGCAGAATTAGACGATGAAGCGCTGTTCTTCCCTGTAAAACGATCTTGTTGGCAAAAGGACTACATCGCTAACAAGCATCTGGGTATGCAATATCAACTCTATCGTGAACTTTTGCTTAGCGACAGCCAAGAATACAGGAGGCTTCTGCGAGTGTCGAGAGAGCAGTTTGTCCAGTTGCTGTCGCTCGTAGGACCTCGCATACAACGACAGGACACCGTAATGCGGCGAGCCATATCAGCTGAAACAAGGCTGCAGGTCACGCTACGATACCTTGCTTCAGGCAAGTGTTGCACGTCTGTGCATTTCTACTCGAAACATTGCTCCTATTGTTGCATCCGAGACTGTTCAGACTTGGAGAGCCTCGCTTTTAGAGGTGGCATTACGTTGTGTGTTGTAAAACGCCAGCAAGGTCTTGAATAGGCACATATGTGACACTAATAAAACAAATCTTGCGAAGGCTACGAAAGCCCTCTTACACAGCCTCGCTGTCGTTGATGTACAGTTTGGCACTCTTGGCATACATCTGCGAATTAGTGACGGTATTTTTTTCCCTTTGTGCAGGAGAGAGCCACCACTCCTTGAGTCGCCAATTTCGTCTGGGCCACTCGACTGTAAATGATATCATCCATGAAACATGTAATGTAATTTATGAAGAGCTGAAGAATGAATTTCTCAAAACTCCAAGCACCGAGGATGAGTGGAGAGACGTCGTTGCTGGTTTCAGTAGAAACTGGAACTTTCCAAACTGCGTTGGAGCGATGGATGGAAAGCATGTGATAATTACTAAGCCAGCAAACACGGGAACAGTTTACAGAAACTACAAGAAGAGCTTTAGCATTATACTGTTTGCCGTGGTCGATGCGAACTACAAATTTTTGTACACGGATGTTGGTGCGCCAGGGTCACAGGGAGATGCGGGCGTCTGGCAAACTACGCCTCTGCAAGCACACTTGTCAAACATGTCGGCTGGTCTTCCGGAACTGGTCAAGGTGGGAAGCTTGCCTGATCTGTACTTGCCACCAGTTTTCGTCGGTGATGACGCGTTTCCTCTTGGAAGAAACTTGATGAAACCGTTTGGGGGAACGTTCGTTATCAGAAGAGAAGAGAATATTTAATTACAGGTAATTTATGTCACTACTGAAACAGCACTATGTGATATTTAACCGTTTAATCGAAGGTGCGCTAACCCAGATTTGCAGCACACATTAGCATGCTACTATCTTCTCAGTGGTGTAAAGTGTATAAAATTATATCTTACTTTTTTTAATGCTTTACAGGTTATCCAGGGCTCGGCGTGTAGTTGAGAGCACCTTTGGAATACTTGCGAATAGGTTTAGATTTCTGCACACCGTGATTGACGCTGAGCCAAAACGGGTGACATCAATGGTGAATGCAGCATGCGTATTGCACAACTTCCTCGCCAATGAATTGAACGCAGCTGACTCGTGTGCCGACACAACGCCTACTGCAACTCTGTTCTCTACACAGCCTTATTCTCGCGGACGAGTAAGTGCTGTTGGCTCCGCCGTACGTGACAGCCTATGCGAATTTTGAATGGCAGGGGTGCTGTGTCATGGCAGCGTACGTCAGCCCACTTGGAGGCCGATGTATACAGAAGGCCATAAGATTACGCAAAGATAGTGCAAGATGCACATGCGTTGTCATAAAATAAAGTTGTTGAAAAATAAAATGCGGTTTGTTTAGTTGAAGGGCGAGATCTTGTATACGCTGTCATATGAATGGCATTTCAAATTACGGATATTTACTTAAAACTGAGTTTCATTCACACTGACAACAATGCTGGAGGTAAGCAACGATTTATTAACTGGCAATATTAAATGAGATCTGTTGAGCTTTCTTACTCGCTTTTGTTGATGTAGATTTCAAGTGCGCTTAAGATAGCCTTCTGGCATGGGATCAGCTTATCCTTCGGAACCTCGCGCATGTGTGCAGCAACAACTTTACCAAAATAGTCGATATCATCTTCCTGCTGTGTGGTACTCGCTGGTTGGCCTACGCTTGCAGCTATTTTTTCCAACACAGTTTGCCGTTGGGCCAATATTTCATCTAAACGATGGGGAGATCGGCGCCTTTTCTTCTGTGTTCCTTGGCGGGACATTGCAGAGAGTGCCTTGCCCGCAATTGGGTCGTCCACGGTAATGTTTTGGTCGTCAGTCGCTGCAGCTGCATCGTCTGAGGTTTGTGAAGGATCATCAATGTCTGGTCGTACCTGCAAGACACAAAATGGCGCACAAAGTCTCTCGCAATTCCAAAATGTAATGCTTTGCAGACACACATCTGCGTATCTATTCCGATTACAATCTGTATTACAACCACGTAAAAGCAATGGTACATTATTCGTGATTTGGCGTAATTAGAGCGCAAGATTCAAACTTCAGTGTCAACAATTTTTGGTCATATCTAATTTAAATATAGAAACGACGTTTGAATAATTCAGCACACCAAGCAACTAATCTTAATGTAGAATTATTTTGGTGTGTGTTCAAGCATTGAAAAGGTTGTAAGGCTGTATAAGAAAGTGCTAAGTAATAAAAAATACATATTGTAAAAATTTACGCGGCACAAGAAGGCTTCATCACAAATACGAAAAACAAGGGCAGTTTACCTTCATGGTCTCCGCCGCAGCTTGGCATGCATCAGTGCTCACAGAACGCCAACAGGTCACTTTTGAAGCATCCAAAAACCTGAGTGAATTATAAAAGCGCCAGCGACCTTTATAAACGTCCGAGCTTGGCATTCCACTCTTTGTGGATTCTACTTTCTTCTTCTCCAACCGGTATGTGCGTCTCTTATTGTCAAAGAAGCGCCGAAGGGCTTCTGTAAAAAAAAAAGAACAAAACAGAGGGGGGGGGGGGGGTGATTATAAGTACGATTTACACCATGCAGTTTCGGTCAATCACCATCACAACACATTATGCTGAAAAAACGTGGCTGGTGCTCTAACGAATACTGCAGTGAATGTTTTCAGTTTTACCGCAAGCTTACGCATCACAAGCAACGTTTGGCGGACTCGTCGCCATTAACACTGTTCTTGAATTTCGCGCCGATTCCTTGATTAAAATGCATTTTTATTGAGCAGCCCTGCCTCCGGCACGGTAGCATGCTTGGGAATGCGCTGACCACGGCCGTCACTTGTAGACACCAATGTGCCCCACGTCATGCATAACAGGTACATTCCAGAAGGTTATTATCACGAAACCCACCCATATAATAACGCAAAACATAGAGAGTAAATATAAATGGTACTTACTGGCATCGTACGGCCCGTACGCAGGCCACTCCTCGTTCATTTCCTTCGCTATGCGTTCCCATATACTCTCCTTCACTGTTGTGTCCGCGTACTCGGCGAGTGTCATATCCCACAATGCGGGGAACTGCTCAACAAGGCGCAGCAGAAAAAAAGTTGCGTCGTCGCTCAAGTTCATAGTTGGAGTTGTTTGCGGTAGTGTGCGTCGAACGTACTTCCCACGCAAAAACCCAAACAAGACGAGCAGAAAAAAAAAAACGTGCCTGTTGCCAGACCCTTATAACTTCGTCGGCTAAATTTACGAAACCACACGAGAAACAGAAAAATAAGCGCTTGTTGCCACACTAGTATTGGCGTCCTCCGCTAAATTTGTCGTGTTTTTCCGCGGGAATCCGTTTGCGAAAAAGAGCGTGGCATTTTCCGTCCGCGACGTCCGCGGACGCGGCACGGATGGCGGAAATCCGTGACGTGGGGTCACGTGACGCGCCGTCCGCCGCGGAAAAGACGGATTTGGTCCGTCGTGTGGATACACGCTAAAGGGAAAAGAAGAGAAAAGTGAGCCCCGTAACTGTCTGCATCAGAGTGCGACGCCTCAACAGTAGCTCACAAGGGATGGGGGTAAGGAGGGATTAAAAGGACAGCAGTAAAAAGTATATAGATAGAGAGAGGAAGGAGAGAGCGAGGTGCAGGGGCAGCAAATGACAGAGAACGTCGGAAGGAAAGAGGAGATAAGAAAGATGGACACGGTCGCAGCAGTCCGAGGACGGGGCACCACTCGACGAGAGCTCTTGTCGGTGTCACGAGATGGCGTAGGGGTAATTCAGTCGGCCAGAGCTACGCTGTCGTCGTCGTCGGGATCGGCGTCAGGAGGTGGCGTAAGACCAGCCCAGTCGGCCAGAGCTGCACTGTCGTCGGAGATCGCGAGGGCACAACCAGCCGGCATATTATGTACGAGTATGGCTCACTGTGTAACGTTAGCATCCTAGGAAGAGCGGAGCCGGCATGTGGCGTCCTCCTGTGGTAAGAAGGGCATCTTACCTTCATGCCGCTTTTAACTTATCTCGCTATTGACCAATAACATGCTATCTGTCGTTCGACGTCAGACGGCAGTGCGAGGTGCCTCAACCAAAGAGAGTGAGGATGTGCCTCTGAGCGAAAAAAACGCCCATGAGAAAACAGTGATTTCGAGCTTCGCGTCTAAACTCTCCTTTCCACGCACGACCGCAAATATTTAGCTGAGCTGTTCACAGCGGCATCTGCAGGGTGTTTCAAGCCAGCGAATCTGAGAGGTGGTTCACAACCACTCTGAGGATGCGACGAAGTCGGACTTCGTTCTTTGGAGATATTTCGGAACGCCTCTTATACAAACAATAAGTATAGAAGCTTTAGATTTTCTTTTTTATCAACCAGCGACTATTAAAACCGGTCGCTACAGTGGTCATCTCAGCAAAAAACAGGTGCGGTCAGTTCATTTGTTAAATTTTGAATTTCTGAACTTTGTACACCATTGTGGCAACTAATTCTTTTTTTTTTTCATCGGCGTGATCTTATAGGAGACCATGGGCATTTTGAGGAAACACTTTATTTTATTATCGTCGATACTTTTTATGGTGAACGCTCATGGCGATATTGCTTCAAAATATGTTGCCGCCTCTCCGGACATCTTAAGTGCTTTGTATACGGCTAGGTATTCTGATCTGCTGTCGACGCGTGAGAATTCATCCACGTTATGGCCAGATACATCTACATATCGGAATCTTCCTAAAGTAATTTTTACTTCTTATAGTTGGTAATTGGTGTTATACTTGGTAAATGGTGATACCGTGCCATGCACCCGGCCTTGGGCGCGATTGGCCTGGTGACGATACGCATTCCCTGATCCTACGAGAACTCGACAATTCATAGTGCGTCGTGTCGAAGTGCAGGAAAATCAAAGACGCCACTCCTGCCATGCTCCTGGTGAGCCTGCTTTTCCTGATTCCGGCGAAACCGGTGGCGGAACCCCAGGGACCGGCTCTGCTCGAGTGGAATGCCGTGCAGCACAAGATCCCCTGGGGCGTGCTCCTGCTCATGGGGGGCAGCTTCTCCATGGCAGAGGCGTCGTCGGTACGTTGAACATTCACAGATGGCCCTGTTCTAAGGCGAAAGCCCTAGGTGCCTCAGGAAACTAGAAACAAGACTGTTGGCGTCATCAGGACGAGAGATGCAAAACGTCATAACCTGTGACGACGTCACCCTATACCGTCATGGTGGCGTCACGAGTCACCGTAACTTGGGACGTCCATCATTACGTCACAGTGATGTAACTGGGATCACGTGATTACTTCATGACTTGGTATTGTCACGTCACGTAGTCACTGGTCGGCCAATCCCGGAGGCACTGCACAAACATGTTGGGTGAAAAGCATTCGAGGTGGGCAAATCAGTTCAGTCTACAGAGAACAACAAGAAAATGGCTTTCGCCTTCACGTTGACAGTGTGACTTTTGATGCAGGCTTCATTAACGCAGCCATCCATGAATGCTAGATTTTGCGTAGATATCACTCAGCATGAAACTTCCAATGCGTGATGGGAAAACGAGGCATGTTTCATAATGGCGTTCTTACCTGGCCCGTCGAGCCTTGCTAACTTTAATGAACAAAATCGGTTTGACCTCGTGTTTATAGACATTTTGTTACTTCTTTACGTCCCCGTCAGTGTTATTTGTTTGTATACCTGTTTCTCTTCTTTTCTCCTATCTTCCTTTCTTCTATTGCCCATTCCCGAAAAAGTAGGCAAGCGCTGTGCCCCTATTGGTAGCCCTTGTAAGCCTGCTCCCTCCCTATTTTGCTCTGTGTTCTTATGTGCTCGTGTATTCAAATCAAATAATGGTACTAATAATAATGTCCCTTTGTCGTAAACCCTGCACCTTTTGCCTCATTTCACTTCTGACTCCGAGAGAGCGACTTGACGTGGCTTCTCTGTTTTTCAGAAATCCGGCCTCTCGAAGATGTTGGGCCAGTACCTGACCAGGCTAGACGTGCTCAGCCCGGTGGTGTTGGTGGCGGTTCTCTGCATTTTCACCACTGCAGTCACCGAGATCGCGAGCAACACGGCGACGGCCAGCGTCCTCCTGCCCATCACTAGTTACCTCGTGAGCAATAAACTTGGACCTCACGCGTGCTAAGAAATTCGAAACTATCAAAGCTTGGCCTATGCTCTACATAGCATTCCGATGCACGAGGCATTCGGCCCTTAAAGAAATGATGAAGAGAAAAACAATTTTCATCGCATTAGTAGGTATCTCTTTCACGATACCGAAAACACCATGCTTGTCGCGAGAGAGCGCTCGGTTAGCGAGAAGGCGCACAAAGAGTAAATGCGAATGGACCGCCGCCTTGATGTTGCCACATCAGTGTCTGTGATGTCACGGATTTTGACGGCATCTATCAAGACCGACGTAGGTTCTGATCGGTAAAAATAAGGTACGTCGTGTTTAAGAGAGCAAGAGACTTGACATATCATGTTTAAGGAAATTTAGTTGAGAAATGGGGCCAAATTACAAAAACACTTTGAAATTCGTGACGTCACTATTGGAGTTCGGGAAAGAATTGATACTTTTGACATGAATATTTTCATATAATGATAAAGATATGGTGGTGAAACTATTTACACTAGATTTCGTAGTATAATTTGTCAGTTTAAGCTAATATACTGTTTCAATATTGTGTTCTCTTGTGTAAAAATTAATAAGACATGACGTAATCAATAAGCGTATGAATCAGTACATTGGATTTCTCATAGATACTGTATGTGGGCTGCCGACACCCTGCTACAATGCACCTTAACTCGAAAGCAAGGTACTTGCCAAAGTGCTACTTCAAGCCATATGAATTGTATAGTTACTAAAGACCGAATTCCTGTCTAAATACCTCAAATGGTAATCTGATTTATTATTTCGTTTGTATTTCCAGGCCCAGGCCTTGAGGATCCATCCGTTCTTACTCATGATTCCTGTCACCGTATCGGCATCGTTCGCCTTCATGTTGCCCGTGGCCACGCCCCCAAACGCCATGGTTTACGAGCATGGAAACATGAAACTCAAGGACATGGTGTGTATTAGGGCCTACAAAAAAAGACCAGTCATTCGGCCAATCAGCTCTCTTCAACGAACTGCCTTTGCTGCGTTTGTGTAGTAAAGAAGGACAGTACGAAAGAAAGAAAGAAAGAAAGAAAGAAAGAATAAAGAAAGAAAGAAAGAAAGAAAGAAAGAAAGAAAGAAAGAAAGAAGAAAGAAAGAAAGAAGAAAGAAAGAAAGAAAGAAAGAAAGAAAGAAAGAAAGAAAGAAAGGGAAGAAAGAAGAAGAAAGAAAGAAAGAAAGAAAGAAAGAAAGAATAGAAAGAAAGAAAGAGAGAAAGAAAGAAAGAAAGAAAGAAGAAGAAGAAAGAAGAAGAAAGAAAGGGAAAAAGAAAGAAAGAACAGAAGAAGAAAGAAAGAAAGCCAAAGAAAGAAAGAAGAAAGGAAAGAAAGAAAGAACGAAAGAAAGAAAGAAAGAAAGAAAAAGAAAGGAAAAGAAAGAAAGAAAGAAAGAAAGAAAGAAAGAAAGAAAGAAAGAAAGGAGAAGCGTGGCTGTATGTGTAGCCTCAAGCTTCCGTCGTATTAATGCACTGCAATTTTACTTTTCCACCACTTGGCCTTCGAGAGCTATGTATGAGGGCCTAATATTGAAGGGTTTCTGAACTACTCATGTCCCTTCCTCCACCGTAGAAAAAATACCTATACACATATCACAGGCGCGTGCGCAGAGTTGAGAAGTAAACAAAAGTCGCATCCACCCCCACCCCATCCCGCCCCACCAACACACATAGTTCTTGACACAGCATTTTACCGTGCGGGCTTCGGGCACTCAGGTGCGGGGGGTGAGAAGCGGGAGAAGGAGATGCTTGGGTCTACTTCGCCCACCCTTCCTCACCCAATGCAAAAAAACAGATTCGTTACGAACACTGTGTCTTTCGTCCTTTCTCTTCCAGATGAAAGCGGGAATCGTGATGAACATAGCCTGCATAATCATCGAGATGATTGCCATCAACACTCTGGGCCACTGGACGTTCGGTCTTTCCAGCTTCCCAGATTGGGCCGAGCCGCGAAATTACACGATCTTGACAAGTTCTCTCAATGCCACCGTGTGACCGACTTCGTCCTAGCAGCACTGCGAGGAAGATCATTCCAAGTACCTAAATGGAGAAAGTTACGCTGTGTTCAAATAGTGTAACGCTCCACTGTCTTTGACATTCCCATATCGGCTCAGAAGATTTCTGAGGACGTTTGGGGCCGAGACTGCATGGTTACCAGAAAGCAGACGCTTATCACGTTGCGTCAAAGATATTGCTTCTTTTATATTCCCGAAAAAACGGGTCATTTCACAATTCTGACAACTGTGATGGCAAAAGTTTCACTCCTTTTTCGCACGTAAATCATCATGTTCCGGCAAGGATGCCAAAGACTTTTACGCTATAATTTTAAAACATCCCAATTCTGAAACCATGCCATGCCATGTGAATTGCGAGACAAGCCCTTTTAGACAATACACCTAAATAAACAAGCATAAATTTCCCCACCGGTGATAGTGTCACTCACTGAACATTCATCTCATCACCGATGAACGTGCTCTGCGCAAATAGTAACTCAATGCCACGTCAGTCACAAGTGGGAGAAAATGCCGATGGCAGGCAAGTCGGAGGGAATCGAAGAGCTCAAAATTTTTCACACGAAATGTGGCAGAAAGTAAAACAATGTATTTAGAAATTTACGCAACCACGTACTCTATCGTAAAGTTACACTACAGTCGACAAACTTTCTTCGAGCTGTTAAACGATGGCTGGTGCTCGGTTGATGCTTGATGCCATTGAACGACCTATATAAATGTATAATAAGCATAAGTTTCAGGAAGAGGGTTTGCAAGGGCGGATGCCTCCGCCCCCCTGAAATTTTGAATAATAATTTTCGATGAAGTAAACTCATGATCAAGTCCCGCTTAAGGTGCTACATATAGCCAGAAAACCAAGCATTTAAAGTCGGGTTTTCTGAATATAGCCAGCATTTAACCAAGACTATGTAGCGATAAGCAACGCAGTTCGATTATCCCACTCGGGTTTCGCCTATTCGTGTGAAACGGTTGGTTACACATCATTGGCTAAACTCGCCAATCGAGACACAGCAGTGAAAAAATGGCTACCTGTGCTTGATGCCACCACCCACCCACCCCTGTTACCGATGCACCCCACTGCGAAAGTTTTTGTGGACGTCCTTGATTAGATACTCATATACTGTCAGGCTACTCACCAGCGGGGATGCTCTATACTCTAAGAGACCGAATTCCGAGCTTTCTTTTGTCAGAAAGCTGCTCTACGATGGCAACTCCCATATCGGCTGGAGAACCTTCGTGCTTCAAACTTAGCACCATTTATGAGGACGCTCATAAGTACTAGATGGAGTCAACTTGCTTTTATGGTCCACAGTGGGTTGAGCAAGCTTATATTTGTGTACCAACACCAAGAAATGCATTTACGTATGTAACCCGAATGAGAGTGAACTGTGCCGTCTTTGTTCTTAGATCTAAAAACATTTGGCGCCCTTTGAATAGCGTTTTGTGTTGAAATTATAATCGCAACTTGTCTTTTATGCTTACCTCTTCAAGAATGCTGCAATTTGCCTCGAGATATGTTAGTGTGGGCCCAGGCGTTCAACCGACAAGAGATGGGACGTAGACAAAGACACGACGTTTATAGACATAGACCATCTCTATAGCTGAACAACATGCAGCGAACGGTTCTCGCGGCCCTGACACAACGCGTCCAGTCGCGCACCTCTCGACGTGCTGCATTCACACGTCACTGTCGTCGAGATTGGTTTGAAGCATTTAACATATTCGGTGCAGTTAATGAACGATATACAGACAGGCAGTCTGTAAGAGTGACAGCATCTGTTATAAATAGAGAGAATTTTTCGTAATGATAAGACAGTTGCAAGTGATTCCGCTTAATAAAGATAGGTGTAAAATCGGGTAAATTAATTAAAAAAGACCAATCCAACACTGAAGATGCGATTCCCATTCCTGTATTTCTGAATTTTTAATAGAGAGGCTAACTAATGCAAGTAGATCATAGGTTCTGGGGTGATACTTCGTGTAATATTTTCTTCACAGATGCAGTTATATCATCAAGAACTGGAGCAGAATCGGGCAAGATTATCACTCCTTGTGCTATTTCCGACGTTGTAACCTCTTCAAAGCCATGGCTTTTAACAGCAGACCATGAGTTGTATAATGAAGCAGCCGTGAAGCGACCTCCAAGTCCATTAGCAATATTTTCCAGATCACTAGACAAGTCACTTGGCATTGAGAATACAGATTTGATGTTTATTGATGATAGAAGTACTTTTTTTTTGCATCAAGGCACTTAAGGAGCGATTTCCTGTTGCTTGGCTTTCAATGGAAGTAATTATCTAACTGTAATTATCTAATATCTAAAATATGTAATTGTAATTATCTTTAGCAGTGTCAAATGTTCGCTTAAAAACCACTGCCATGTATTTAAAATAGCTTTAGCTTTTGATGGATTGGTTATATGGCAGTTTCCGTCACGTCGCGTCTCTTAGCCAATAATGCTGTGAACAATCAGAGTTCCATCAATGATTCGAAGTGCCTTGTTTATAGACTTGTACCATGACTTTAGCTTTATTTAAATATTGTTTCATAACAACACTAACGCTCGTAACATTCCGCTCTTCATTATCATCAGTTTGTTTTGACAAAGCAACACGTAGTGTCTTTTCAAAGGTATTAAAATTGAAGTGAGAAATCGACCGCCTGATTACTGAAGTCGCGGGACATACAAGCTCAAACAATATGGGAAAACGACCGCTACTTGTACCCGGGTTCAACGTAGACCATGTAGAGATGGAGAGGCAAGGACTATGGGAATCAAGATCAATCGCAGAATGAGACTGATTGCATACAAAAGTGGGGATTTGCTAGTTAATGCATGTTAAAATATTTTTAGTAACTAAATCTGTTCGTATCTGTTCTAAATCTCCTCGAAGTGTGTTGAAAAATATATTCTCCTACCAATGATATTTCTTTTCTGCAAGACGAAAGTACATCATCCAAACATAATTTTGAACACCTGATGGAAAATTAGCATTTACTAATAAAAAGGGAAAGCATCCCAGAAAAAGAGATATCTAAGGTTAAAATTTCACTATCTAAGTTCATTACCTGACCTGTAATTTTTAGCCGATGCGCAATTTGTGAAGAGATAAACACTGCTAAACCACCACCTCGAGAAGGACGGTCTAAGCGAAGTATGTCCATGGTAATTTTTAAGATGAAAGCTTTTTTTTTTTCAGAAAGCCAAGTATCTTGCAGCACAATATCATATGTGGAATGTAGATTACAGAGATAATATAAATCAGTAGCTTCGGAAAAAATTTGACCGGCAATTATACAGTAAAATGGTTAATCCCCCTATTTTGACGATATACCTGCAGCATTCAGTGCCATCTGCAATAAGCTATATCTTTCAAAAATCCTTTTATTTCTGATAATTTTTATATTTTCCAGACTCACTAGAGAACCTTTCCTCCCAGACGACTATTTGTTGAGTCAAATTTTATTTGAGAGTTATGAGAACCTGAATCAGAGCTCAAATCCAAGTGTTCAACGGGAATTTTTCTAGGGCTGATATCTGACGGGCCGGCTCTTGATGAATGTAAGTCTTCAACAGGTGCTGTTAACATGTCACTTGAATTCAAAGGTACTGTTTCTGGTGATCATATTTAAGAGTTATTTAGCTGAAGAAATTAGGCTGTATCTGGTTAACGTTTATCAGGACTTGAGTCATCTGTACATTTATTGTTTGAGCTAATGACTCGTTCAGTATTACAAAAAGATTTTCCATCTTTGTCATTGTTTTTTCAAAAGTCGAGGCTATCGTTTCGGAGAGTGACGAATCTGTGGCATGATTATTAGGTTTCATAGCACCAGCGTACCCATGAGAGCGCTGTGTGATGGCGATTCAGGATTCCCGTCTGGAACAACGTCTTTTTGTTCAAATATTTTATTTATTTAGATCTCCTGAACTTTCGCAAGGCAGCTACCATCATCAGCAGGGTGAGGGACACCGCAGAGGCAAGACCTTTCCTGAACTGCACATTCATCAGCGTGGTGGTGTTCTGCACACATTTGGCATCGGACTAATGATCTGAAACCATTTATGCTATGTCCGAAACACCAGCATTTATGGCACTGCATTGGACGAGAAGACAGCGCTTCGACCCGATTAGTCAGCGGCCACGCTTTGATTTCCGTCGGTCTAGTAGTGCCAGCAAAGGTAACAATCACCGCCTCTGTCGGGATCTTTCTGCTGTCGACGCTACGTGAGCAAGAAAACACTGCTCTCTGGAATTTCACGTGGAGACAGGATCGAGTCCACCCCACGAACTAAACCTCTCACACAGGCCAAGTGAGGAGGAACAAAAAAGATCACCCGGAGAAAGGTAAACGACGTGCAATTTAGCAGATCTGGAACGCAGCCCTGATCGAGTGAACAACATATAATACCTCCACGACCAAGTTGTCGCACCTCGGTGATCAGTTAGAAGTGTTCGGTCACCTTCCGTTGCTTCTGCTGGATACTTTTTGGGTTTCTCATGTGGATATAATCCCCATTTGTTGGGACTAGAACCATCGGGACGTTGCTGAGACCGCTGCGCGAGAAACGATAAATAGGTAAACTACCCTTAGTCACAGAGGCCGACCAGGTAGTGTTTGCCTGGCCGAGAGACGCGACAGACATCACTCAACTGTGGCTAAAACAGCACAGCCCGTTCTGGCCACACACCCCGGGAGGATGCGCCTATAGACGCCGAAGACAGCCAATCAGCGTGAAACCAAGTGCAGGCACGACGATGATCGACGTTCGGCCTCGGTGTTTGTTTGTTGCCTGTGAACACTGGCACATACCCACTCGGGGGGGATCGGCCAAGAGAACTTGTAGTAGCCTATATGTCAACAATGTGCACTGATTGTCAGCCTATTACAAAAGTGTTCAAAATATGAAGTTGCAAATTATCTTTTGGCACATGCACACTCGGGTAGATTGGCCAAGAAAATTTGTAGTAGCCTATATGTGAACTATGTACAGTGATTGTCAGTCTATTACAATACAAATAAATAAAATTGCAAGTTATCTATTAAGAATAATAAAATGATATAAAAATTAATCAACAAAATGAAAAGAGTGCTAATACCGCATTGAAAGACGGAAATTCCGAGCTGACCAGACAGCTCAGTTTACCTCACCCGATCGAAACCGAACGTATGTCCTACATTTATTCACATTATCAATTACATCGCTAGTATTCGTCAAGTACGTACTAAAGCAGACATTATGTTGTCATGCGTTTAGATTCTTGAATGGAATTACATACTCGATCAAATACGCTTCCGTGGCAATGCCCCAATCCGGAGGCGCCGAAACTGAAAACATCTGCGGTTAAACTTCAACCTACTGTGAGAAATGGAATAAATACACGTCTTTCGTAATACATGAAGAGTTCC